GGGGGGGGAGAAGTTGGAGAAATTTGCTGCAGAACGAGCTAGGTGGACCCAGCAGGGCTTCGGGAAGGCCCGAGCTGCTGCTGCTGCTGCTGCTGCTGCTGCTGCTGCTGCTGCTGCTGCTGCTGCTGCTGCTGCGGCTGAGTTTGCTGCTGCTGCTGCTGAAGAGCTGCGTCTTTGGTTTTTGCTGCTGTGTTGCCAAATTGTTCAAAGGGAAGACAAACACTTCGGCTTTTTGCATGTTTTCATTTCGCTTCATTACGCGCGCAGTTTCTTTTCATTTTCTGTTTTATTTTTTTATTTTCTGTTTTTATTTTCTGTTTTTATTTTCTGTTTTTGTTTTCTGTTTTTATTTTCTGTTTTTATTTTCTGTTTTCAATTCCTGTTTTCAATTCAAGTCGGCGGCGCGAGTCATTTGCACCTTCAAACACCTGCAAACTGCAACTTGCATCTGCTGCCAACAAAACAAAACAACAACAACAACAATAATAATAATAACAATAATAATAATAATAATAATAATAATAATAATAATAATAATAATAATAATAATGTTGTTTGCAGGCTGGAGGAGCAGGCGGAGCGGACGAAGAAGATCCTGTCTGCGAACAGCGAAACGACCTTCGCCGTGGAATGTCTGATGGAAGACAAAGACCTTTCGGGTTTAATAACTCGCGAGTTGTTTGAAGAGTTGTGCGCGAGCAGTTTCAAGCCTTCGCTGCTGAAGCTGCTGCAGCAGGCGCTGCACGTGAGCGGTGCGTCGCGCCGGCCGCGAACTTGAATTTTTCCGCGAGTTCCGCGAGTTTTCGCGCGCTTCCTCCGCTTCTTTCGAATTATAAATATCAAATTCGCATTTTACTTCAAAAATAACCCGGGATCGCCGCGAGATCCGCGCCAGAAGCTCCGTTTTCGCGCTTGTTCAGGTTTGCAAGCCACTGACATCGCCTACGTCGAGGCCGTCGGCGGCTGCACGCGAATTCCTTGGATTCAAAAGTGCATCAGCGAGGCTTTCGGAAAAGAAATTTCCCGCACTCTTTCCGGCGACGAGTGCGTCGCCAGGGGCTGCGCGCTGCAGGTATTGAAGCTGCTGCTGCTGCTGCTGCTGCTGCTGCTGCTGCTGGTTTCGTTTTGCTGCTGCTGCTGCTGCTGGTTTCGTTTTGCTGCTGCTGCTGTTGCTGCAGCTGGTGGTTTCGTTTTGCTGCTGCTGCTGCTGCTGCTGCAGCTGGTGGTTTCGTTTTGCTGCTGCTGCTGCTGCTGCTGGTTTCGTTTTGCTGCTGCTGCTGCTGGTTTCGTTTTGCTGCTGCTGCTGCTGGTTTCGTTTTGCTGCTGCTGCTGCTGCTTTCGTGCTGCGGCTGCGGATTTCCCTTTGCTGCTGCTGCCGCTGCGTTCCGTTTGCTCTCGCCGCTGCGATGGTCTGCTGCTGCTGCCCCCGTATATCCCAACTGCTGCTGCTGCTGCTGCTGCTGCTGCTGCTTGGGCCTTCCGTTTGCTTCTGCGGCTGCTGCTTTATCCCGCTTCGCGCTGCTGCTTGCTGCTGCTTGCTGCTGCTGCGGTGCTGCTCGGTGCCTTCGGTGTCCGGGGCAAGGCCCCAGTGCATGCCTTATATATTGCATTTTGCTGCTGAGTCTTTTAAGTTTTATTTTATTTTATTTTATTTTATTTTATTTTATTTTATTTTATTTTATTTTTGCTCAAGTCTTGCAGCAAATAAGTCTGAGCATTCCTCACTTCTTTAAATGGGCTCAGCGGGGTTGCTTTGCTGGCTCAAAAGCTGCTGCTGCATGCTGCTGCTGGCCCGCTGCTGCTGCTGCTGCTGCTGCTGCTGCTGCTGCTGCTGCTGCTGCTGCAGGCAGCAATGGCTTCGCTGCACTTCAAAGTCAAGGAGTTCGACTTCGGAGAAAAGCTGTGGCACCCAGTGGCCCTCAGCTGGACTGGGGAGGGCCCCGTGCACTGCAGCACGCAGCAGGAAGAGGGGGGCCCCCCGGGGGGCCCCCCGGGGGCCCCCCAGGAGGGGGGCCCCCCTGCTGGCTGCCGCGAAATAGAACTTCCTGTGGGGACTCCGACGAATACTTTGCGCAAAATAACTTTTCTCCGAAGTGCTCCCTTCGAAGTGCATGCAGCTTACAAAGACCTGGACCCGAAGAGCATTTCTGCAGACCTCGGTGAGGCCTAGGGTTTAGGGTTTAGGGTTTAGGGTTTAGGGTTTAGGGCTTAGGGTTTAGGGAAGCGCTGGCGCGGGCGTCTGGCGCAGTTCTAGCTGAGACCCTGAGTTTAACTCGAGACTTCGGATTTTGAATCAAGTTCGAAGTGCAAAAACGTTCAAAACCTGCTGCTGCTGCTGCTGCTGCTGCTGCTGCTGCTGCTGCTGCTGCTGCTGCTGCTGCTGCTGCTGCTGCTGCTCTGCTGCTGCTGCTGCTGCTGCTGCTGCTGCTGCTGCTGCTGCTGCTGCTGCTGCTGCTGCTGCTGCAGGTGGGTGCCGGGTGGAGCTGCCTGAGGGCTGCGGGCTGCGGGAAGTGCACGTGTTTTGTTCGGTGAACTACAACGGGCTGCTGCGTTTCCCGCGGGCCTGCATAAAGAACGTGGAAGAAGAAGACGCAGCAGCAGCAGCAGCAGCAGCAGCAGCAGCAGCAGCAGCAGGAGGGAAGGGTTCGGCGGCTGCGGGCGAGACGCCGAGCACGGAGCCGTCTGCTGCAGCGGAGGGCGACGCGCAGCAGGAGCAGCAGCAGCAGCAGCAGCAGCAGCAGGGGGCTGCTGAGGGGGCCTCCCCGTGCGCGGGGTCGCCAGCAGCAGCAGCAGCAGCAGCAGCAGCAGCAGCAGCAGCAGCGCGCGCGAGAACGACGGAAGTGCCGGTCCAAGCCCTCGACTTCGCGGGAAAACTCTCGGAAAAAGACCTCGTGGAACTCCGGGAAAAAGAATTAAATATGATTAATGAAGATCGCCTGCATCGGGAAAAGCAAGAAAAGTTGAACGAGCTGGAAACTGCGGTGTACGTACACCGCGACGGCCTCGCGGGGCCCCTCAGCCTCTTCGCCTCCGAAAATGAAAAACAAAAATTAATTAAAGTTTTGGAAGAAGTGGAGAATTGGGTGTACGAACACCAGCAGGACCCGCAGCTCACCAAAGCAGCAATTGCTGCGCAGCTGCAGCAGCTTGCTGCTGCAGCGCAGCCGCTGCAGCACCGCCAGCAGCAGCAGCAGCGCCGCCTCGCCGCAGCAGACAAACTCCGCGCCACCATTCAGGTGCCAAGCCCCGCTGCTGCTGCTGCTGCTGCTGCTGCGAGCGCTGCTGCTGCTGCTGCTGCTGCTGTTGCTGTTGCTGCTGCTGTTGCGCGGTAGCGGGTCGGGTGTCTGTACAGCGCAGCGCGGGGGGCTGCAGCGGCTGCTGCTGTGGGGTGTTTGTGGGGTGTATGTACACCAGGAGTGCCGGCACACAGCAACAGCAGCAGCTCCAGAATTTGCCCATATTGAGCAGCAAGTGCTGCAGCAGCTGCTGCAGGCAGCTGAAGCAGACGAGGCCTGGCTCAACAGAGTGGTGAGTTTTGGCCCTAAAATAGCCCTGCTGCTGCTGCTGGTGCAGCAGCAGCAGCAGCAGCAGCAGCAACAGCAGCAGCAGCAGCAGCTGCTGCTGCTGTTGCAAGTTGCGGATTTGCTTCGGAAAGTTGCTTTTATTTGGGAAGAAGTGCTTAGTAAATGAATAGTGTTTGAAATAAATGAATAATGGAAGAAATAATAAATGAAAATGATTTAAAAGATTTATTTTTTAAAGTTTTTTCAACTTCTCGTTTTGCTGCAGATGCAAGAAGCTGCTGCGCAGCCGCCAACAGAAAACCCCACAGTTTTGGCAGAGACAATTGAGCAAAGAAACTCCGATCTTTTTGCACTTTTGAACAAGATCTGCTCCACTCCCAAACCCAAACGTGAGCCTGCTGCTGCTGCTGCTGCTGCTGCTGCTGCTGTGCTGCTGCTGTGCTGCTGCTGCTGCTGCTGCTGTGCTGCTGCTGCTGCTGCTGCTGTGCTGCTGCTGCTGCTGCTGTGCTGCTGGTGCTGCTGCTGCTGTGCTGCTGCTGCTGCTGTGCTGCTGCTGCTGCTGCTGCTGTGCTGCTGCTGCGCTGCTGCGGGTTGCTGCTGGCAGCAGTTAGTTGCTGCTGGCTGCTGCTAGTTGCTGCGTGGTGCTGCTAGTTGCTGCTTGCTGCGGCTGGCCGCGTCCAGCTGCTGCTGCTGTGCGTGCTGCTGCTGCTGCTGCTGCGCTGCTGCTGCAGCTGCCAACCCTGCGCCTGCTGCTGCTGCTTCTGAAGACGAAATGGATGTCGAGGGGGCCCCGAGGCAGCAGCAAGAAGAAGCAGCAAAAGGAGAAAATGCAAAAAGTGATCAGGAGTTCAAAGAGCCCATGGTTGAGGAGCCCAGCGACCCCTGAGGCTCTCCAAACCCTAAACCCTAAACCCTAAACCCTAAACCCTAAACCCTAGAAGCCACACAAAGCCTCCTCGGGGTGCGCCCTGCGCCGCCGCAGCAGCGCGCCCCCTGCTGCTGCTGCTGCAGGCTGCTGCAGCAGCAGCAGCAGCAGCATCAATGGGACACTGCGGGTAAAGGGAAAAGCAAGCAAGTTTGGAGTGTACATGCCCCGGGTGTACGTACACCTCAATCCCGGCCTACAGACAGCATCAAACGCCTTCACTTTAATTTCCCTGTCGATCTTCGAAGCAACTGTTGCAAAACCTGCAACTAGCTAGCTAGCTAGCTAGCTAGCTAGCTAGCTAGCCAGATAGCCAGATAGCTAGCTGGCTGAGTAGCTAGCTAGCCAGCCAGCTAGCTAGCCGGCGCGGGTCTCTCGCGCGTCGCCTGCGTGGCTTGCGGCCAGTGTGACCTAGCTAGCTAGCTAGCTAGCTAGCTAGCTGGCTAGAAGGCTGGATAGCTAGCCAGCTAGCCAGCTAGCAGACTGATCGGCCCCCTAGCGAACTACCTGGCTAGCTAGCTAGCTGTAGAGCTAGCTAGCTAGCTGGCTTTGCAGCTGGCTTGCCCTGCAGCTAGTTGGCTAGCTAGCTAGCTAGCTAGCTAGCTGCGAAGCAACAGCGAGGCGGAGCTCTACAGCCTTGCAGCAAAAGGGAAAGCTTCACTCGAATTAAAAAGAACAAAAAAGAATAAAAAGGAATAAAAAGAATAAAAAGGAGTTAAAATGAATTAAAAAGAATAAAATGAATAAAATGAATAAAAAAGAATAAAACAGGCAGCACAGAGAAGGCCCCAGCTGTACAGACACCTCAAATCGCGGACCTGTCTGTACACCTCAGCAAGCGGAGGCGCACAAACCCGCCATGCGCCCGCCCAAGGCAAAGCCAGCTAGCTAGCTAGCCAGCTAGCTAGCTAGCTAGCTAGCTAGCTAGCTAATAGCCGCTAGCTAGCTAGCTAGGCCAGCTAGCTAGCTAGCTAGCCAGCTGGCCAGTACGGCGAGCAACGCCATTGGGGCGGCTGGCGCCCCCGAAAAAAATCCGCCCTAGCTAGCTAGCTAGCTAGCTAGCTAGTCAGCTAGTTAGTCAGCTAGCTAGTCAGCTAGCTAGTCAGCTAGCTAGTCAGCTAGCTAGTTAGTCAGCTAGGCCAGCTAGGTAGCTAGCCAGCCAGGCTAGCTGGCCAGCTAGGCTAGCTAGCTAGCTGGCCCCAGCAGCTGTTTACCTGTTTACTGAGCTAGCTAGCTATTTGGCTGGCTAGCTAGCTACTTAGCCAGCCCGCAAGCCCGCCAGCCAGCTCGCCAGCTAGCTAGCCAGCCAGCTAGCTAGCCAGCCAGCTAGCTAGCCAGCCAGCTAGCTAGCCAGCTAGCTAGCCAGCCAGCTAGCTAGCCAGCCAGCTCGCCAGCTAGCTCGCCAGCAGCTAGCCATCAGCTAGCTAGCTAGCCAGCTAGCCAGCAGCTAGCTAGCTAGCTAGCTAGCTAGCTAGGCGCGTTGGAGAATCCACTGGGCGACTCTGATGAGAACTTTGTGGCCGTCGACTTCGTTGGCGAAGCTGTGGTGTACATCCAGCCCGGCCAGCGAGACGTCTGCGAGCTGCTGCAGCTGCTGCTGCAGCTCCTCAGACACCATTTCCCGGAAAAACTTGCTGCTGCTGCTGCTGCTGCTGCTGCTGCTGCTGCTGCTGCTGCTGCTGCTGCTGGTGCTGCTGGCGGTGCTGCTGCAGGTGGTGCTGCTGCTGCTGGTGTTGCTGCTGCTGCTGCTCTGCGGCGGCTGCG